TTGCGTGTTGACGACTCGTCGCCATTTTGACATGTCGCTGTTCGGATCAACTGTTCCTAAGAAAATGGATTTAAATTGATTCATGCCAGCATTAGCGAAAAGTAAAGTAGGATCATCTAATGGAATAGTACTCGAAGAATGAACATAGATGTGCTGTTTTTTCTTGAAAAAATCGAAATAGGTTTGACGTACTTCGGCACCAGTCAAAAACTTCATTGCGGAATATTCTAAAATAAGAAATATGTTATTATTATCATAATCACAATGTATACAACCTTCACTAAAGCAAACAATATTAAATAGTTAGCTATGTTTTTCCGAGGGGAACATTCGCGGTTACTACTCTACATGAAGTTGTGATTGTTTCATGTGTTAGGTAATCTCATTTATTTATTGGATCGTCGGAATTAAATATGTAAAATAAGTAGAGGTCTAGTGGATCCATAATAAATATTTTTTATTTTGGAAGCTTGTCCAGAAGATAAATTTCGCAGATTACACTTCTTGAAGATCTATTCGTGAGTAACTCGATTAAACTCGAATAATTTTCAGTGAATTTACCAAACATTCCGTAGGATCGTTTCTTCTACCGTTTCTCCTAACAACGGGTTAAAATAAACATTTATTTAATTTGAATTCTAAATATTTTCTCCCAAAGGACACAGTACGCTTGAGAGAAAAATGATAAAATCTTTTCCTTTTTTCAAATGGCGTAGTATAACATTTTCATGTGCATTGTTCCAAAATAATCTTCAAAATAACTATCGAGCCTACATATCCTTTCTTGTTCTTCTCGCTATGATTACAAACTCAATATTTAGAGCCAATTTTCTTTCCTTTAATGTTAATCAAAATCGTCGATTCTGCCTTTCATATCCTTCGAATCTTATAGGTCTTGTATCCAACACCCTGTATTGTAGTATACGGATATATAAATTTGTGGGGATGTATGTAACACCCAGAAGTACTTTAGATAGACACACATTTTATAACAACTAAGCTGTCCGTAAGTCCCTTCGTCTTATCTTCTTGTGTTCAACTTACAGCCCGTAATTTTTAAGATATTTCTTTGAAATTCATGACACCGACATATTATGTCCAAAGGACGGACGTTACTGGAAATGGCCGGGATTGGGCCACTTTTCGACCACTTTTCATTCAATATTTTATGTAGAAAAGTCGTTATATGATGTACGATGGTGTAAGGTATTTAATGGAGAGCAGTGTTTCACTATTTCAACTATTTATCTGCACGTTGTAATCTTGTAATCTATAGTCAAAAGTGATGGTGAAATGTTGGTGATGCGTAACGTAAATCTGCATAGAGGAGAATTCTTGCAGTCATTTAAAACCAGGAACAACATAATTATGCAATGTTATGTTAAAACTCAATCCTATTTGTGTCTTATATGTCCAAATAATAAACTGTTGATTATATATTTTTAAACTTTTATTATTTATATTGTTTCTATTATATGGCGATAATAGCTAACCACACATAACTGCGCTCTTGTCAGTGAGCAGCTGTGGCCTTTTCTTAAAGCAATAATAAATTAAAACTGGTAAACACTTACTAAATTGCAAGATAGAAAATTATTAAGCTTTAAAATCAATATGTATTTTGCACTCAAATTGCTTGCGTTTCACAATACTTTCACTAAATAAATTATAAAGTCTCTGTGAATTTCCTTTTTGAAAAGTTTATTTTTGCATACGTCAAAAACATGACAACGATGAGGATCGTAATTATCGATTACATGTTGTAATAGATTACGCAGGGATGGCATTATTGCATGAATGGTTGTAAAATTGTTCTCTTTTCAGACCATTATACCAGGTATATAGCATTATTAAATTACGTGTGGGTATATATTTTTGATCAGACATTTTTAAGTACGCCCTTTCTTATTAATTTGTGTAGACGAACACAATAAATATCGTAGTTTTGCCTTTTCTTTATAACGAACAATTTGTCTAGCCTTACCAGACTATTTATAGCACTGGGTTATTGCATAATTTGGTAACGATAATCGTTATTTTCATTTTAGTCAAAATGTGTTTTTCTGCCTTACAGTTAAACACCGTACTTTATTTATCCTCCAGCTATGAATTATATATAGTATACGTAATAAAAATAGTACAGACGTCTGTTGCAAACTGTAACGAATAATTAAATAGTATATGAAATGTTGTCATTAAAATCGTGGAAAGTGTGGTTAATTGTCCTTCTGTCAAAACCCGCCATCGATATATCCCTAAAATTGCGTCGTAGAAGGAAAGAAAACAAGACGAACAGACAAGCTTAGGTCGATCTAGAACCACTTTCGTTATTTTAAAGAACGTGGGTCTGTCTCAAGTCCTTCCGCACGACTTAATTTACTCTAGCGCCACAAATGATGTAGAGCTTAAAAGGTAGACTTTGTTATTGTAGAAGAGCTGGGATGGGATAAAAAAATATACCTACCTAGGCTAATTTTGGTACAGTTAAGTTTTACGTAAAATTATTATTGTGGGCTTACTTTGATCATAACATATTAAAAATTTGGTTTATTTTTCGTAGTAGCAATTAAATTTAATATGTCAAAATACCATTGCTCACCAATTTTCGCGGGCAAACTTTAAAAAATGGTCGTAAAAATAATTCGATCCCATCCATTTTTAACCGGGTTCGTCCTTGCGGCAAAATAACCCCTTGTGTTAAATTTGGGCAAGATATCTCAAAAAATGCATTCTGTAGGTGGAGCGTAAATGTAAATTGACGAATTTGGGGCAAACAAATTGAAAAGTTTAAATAGATTCAGAATATGATTCGTAAATCGACGATATTGGAAAGGGCGGATCTTTTCACAAGCAAACTTATAAGCTATGCCACGACTGATACAGGAAAAAAATCAATAAGATCGAAACATTCTTTCAATAAATACTTTATATTTATCACTTTTTGTTTTTTTGTTAAAAATAAATTAATTTAGAGTAAAATAATAATTTATATAATATATATGTATATATATCTATATATTCGTATATTATTATATAAACAACAAATGCAAACATATTTATTTTTTATTACAATTGTACTTGCTATATATTATACATACATATATAGATTGTAAGTTCACATAATAGCTATAACTTTTATACTATATAACAAAGAGAGCAATTTATCAATATTGTCTTAATATTTTCATAAAAACGCACGCATTTTCTTCTAAACTAAAATATTAAAAAGTAATTAAAATTAAAATTTGTATTAATGTATAGTAAAATAGAAACTAAATCATGGCTGACTCATGTAATTTTATATGTTAGTTTACACACATAAATATATGTATATATGTAGTATATAAGAAAAATTTTTTTAAATAAATTTTATATTTATTGTATAAACACATTTATATATATATATATATATATATATATGTATATATATATAACTCTGGTTGTTTTGCACCAGCTTGTTTGTATCATTATTGTTCTAAGTCAATTTATAGATTTTTAGTGGTTATTGTGACCTTCCTTCCTTTAGATCTAACATGAAAATTAATTCTTTTGAGTTCTTAACCATTAAAGTCTTACCATCTTTTCACTTTGGGATTATGTAAAATTTTGCTTATCGCATTTGTAACGATTTAACTTTACAGCTTATACGAATTCGGTAGGTAGGTAGGATGAGATGTAATATATAGTTTGCCTTTTACATTTAATTAATACTAGGATATAAAATTTGTGCGGTACTTGCATATGTGCCAAATACGAATCCGCTAATGCCAAACATTAATATTGCAAAATCTTTCCATAAAATCCAATTATAACGCCCATATCCCGCAGCCCAGAAAGTAATAATTTCAATAATAGGAGGAGCGATAAGAGCCAAAGCAGAACTACTAATAGCACCAACAAGTGAAATAATTGGTCCTAAATTTGGTATACATGCAGCTAAAATAACTGTAATGATAAAAAATAAAATTGAATACAATTTGTCTTAATTTAATTGTTAGCGGGATATATGTATTACATGTGAATGTAATCAAAACAATACGTAAAGCTGTGTTAGCCAAATACTGGGCTCGGTTTGTTTCAAAGTGATTAACTACAACTGGTTCTACAATATTCATGGGCACATAGAATTGCAATGGATAAGATAAAAATATCGCAATCGCCATAGCAATACGAACAAGTTGAGAGAGACTAAAATAAGAGAAGGTCGTCTTATAAGCAAATAATAGCTAAAGCATTCAACAGAATATTTCTTACATATGATCCTGCGGTAAATTTAGTGTTATGCTTCCCTTAACGTTCTCGCCGTACTTTAAGTAGCCGAAAAATCCAACTGAGGTATATAAGCAAGCGACAATAACCATTCCGGTATTGAGTACTCCAGTTATACCGCCAAAGTCCTGAGGTGATTTCATATTGTTTTCCAAGGGCAGTACAACGCCAATGCCTTCAAATGCGTAAATTGCTGTGCCGAAGTACAAAGGTAAAGTTGCCCACGATCCTACCGGTTTAACAGTGTCGGTGCGCGGTAAATTTTGTAGCATATAAAAGAAAGATATTGAGAGACCGGTCACCGTAAGTATCGCGGCAAAGAAAGAGACGGGAGCCAAATATTTCAGATTTCTTAACAAATTGATCAATATCATGGGGCCCAATAAAATGAATAAATATAGGCGAACATCCAATTTTGCAAAGTAATGATCTATAACTTCTTTAACATTCAATGCCACGAACAAGAAATAAACGCAGCAAAAGCCCATTTGTGTAATAAATAGAAAAGTTGTTATCATTCGCCTAGAATTACGTTACATAAAATCAATTCAATTTGATTAACATTATCATAAATTGAAATGTTATTACCTCGCAATTATGGAATAACGCCTCAAAGCAGCTGGCCCTGTCTCAAATGACCAATAACCTACTTCTGGAAAATTAAGCGCTGGTTGTTGTAGTCTTTGGCAAAGTTCATGAGAGCACCGCACCAACATATGCATGCAATGCGTGCAAATAGCACCTAAGAATTAGGTTAGTGGAACTCATTCTTAAAAAGGAAACGCATAAGCGCAGTAAGTGCAATTGGCAAACCTAAGATTAATGTTCCAAATAATCCGACATATAGACCCGCATTTCTAAATGCATCTGGCATAGCCAAAATACCAGTACCAATGTTCCCTTTTAGTAAATGTATCATAGTATCCACATTAGATGTTGGATGATCCAATGTCCGATGCATAGAGGGATTGTATTCCGGTTGTTGTGAACTTTGTACTGCTGCATCATTATCTGCAAATAAAAAGTAAAAATATACCTTAGAATATTTATATAAATGTATATATATGTAAATATACAATTTTCTTGCTATGTATATATATTAGGTTGGTGGGAAAGTTCTGTTATATTTTAAATAAAAGATTTAAATCTGAAGATGTTTGATGTGTTGCTCAGCAATCGGAAAGATCGGACACCGAATTCCTTTGCAATTGCAAAGTAGTTACATGTTGCTTACTCTCCAACATGAAACAAAAAATGTGATTATTGCCCAGATCTTCAAACGATATCCATTGAGATTGCAATCTTCGTAACACAATTTAAGAAAGCATCTTTGGCTGGTCCGAACATTTATAACTTCACTTCTCAACATCTTAGATAAGTTTTTTCAAGCAATCGGTGCATTGCTTTCTCTTTAGAACTCATACCGAACGTAATGTGTTAAATGTACTCTACCCATGCTCACTGCACCGTATTCACTTCACAACTAAAGGATATTGAATGTAGTCTTCTTATAACCGCGAGGTGGGCTAATTCCACGAAGTGGGCTAATTCCTCTCTACGGTCTTGCCTTCACCCGATAAGTAAAATTTGCTGCTGGTAGTAAAATACGACAGGACTTTCTCGCCAATCCATTATATATACGCATATATATATGTTGTAAACATTTTGAAACGTAAATAATAAACAAAATAAATAAAATTAATTCTCATAAATAATAAAAACAACATTAACTACACAAAAAACCGGCGAATCCAACAACAACAAATGACAATTATAAGAAAGAAAAATATTTCAACACGTGCAACAACACACATACATACAATCACGACAATAACAATAATTACGATAGTAACTACACAAATCACATAAAACAAAAAATGCCTTACACTATAAGGGTTAAATGGTCTTATATATACATATATATATATATATATATAATGTATATAATACAGCTATAGATGCTCTGTACTATGCTATGTATGTTCTAAAAATTGGCTTTTGCTTGCTACCAGTTATTCTAAAATTCGTTCATTACTACATGAGTGCTTAAATGTTCGGCTTGCATAGTGCGATCAGACGGCATGATAAAATTCATTCTAAATTTCCCAATTTCTGTTACTCCCTCAAAATTTTCCACATTCTCACTCACGCCGTTAATGAATATGTCAGTCCTGGGAACTGAGAAAATAAAAATTCCATACAACTGAGAACTGTTTATTTACATATCATTTTTCCTTTCTCGTTTTGCCCCTTTGGTTGCTTACTTTTTGTAATTTTGTATGTGTTCTACTTTATGAGTAACAAACGAAAAGCACTAATAGCAGTTTCTGTTGGAAGCGTGTCCTTTGACTGCATTGAGTCGTTTTCAAACTCTTTTGCATATTTCCAGGGCGAGAAGAATGTTTAGGACAGACGGACAGACAAACATGCTTAAATCGATTCAGAATCACTCTGACCCTGATCATGAATATTTATACTTTACTATGAAGCTTACTTGTGGGCATTGCAAACGTTTTCACAAAATCAATATATCTCTCATCCTTCGGTAATGGGTATAATGAATAAATAGCTGAATGTAAGTGAAGGATAAGCAAGTGCAATTGAAACGTGGCACCCAAGCCCTTTCGAAGTGATCATGCGACGTAGATGAGGAAGAAACACCGAAAGTTAAGCCGAATATAACATAAAATTAAAAAAAATGCCAATGCCCAAGGCGTAAATTACAGAAGATGCGCTGCTAAATATGATAAATGAATAAATAACAAAATACAATCTTTTACAGGAAAATGGTTTATGTGTTAAATACTACACGTTAATTGTACCTGTTCCTTCGTCATTTTTAATATCCAAAATACTCTCCGAAGTATTCTCCTCTTGTTCAGCTCTCAATTCTGGGCGAATTTCAGATGCCTCTGGCCGATCTGATTGCAATAATGGCTGAAGTTCAGACATTTTCTTTATGAGATCTATAACTAGAAATAATAGAATAAATATATTAATATGCAATCAATACATGATATATATGTGTAATCGAAGTATTTTGTAAAGATAATTAAGCTAATTGAAATATTCGTGGAGTAAAGTAATAATCGTTTCTTTTTTTTTTTTTTTGAAATTCCATTCTTTATAATGCAGTCAATCAATTCATTCGCTCAGCAACAGTAATTTAAAATAAGAATCGAGGGTGTCTTGACCATACGTAAAAAAGTTGGAAGGCTTGCGGTGACGGAATTTTTTGCAAAAAAAAGTTTAGACGCAACGAAAATTCTTTGATGGAATGCCCGCCTATTAGGAATAGGACAGTAATACCATCCGTATAAATGCGTACTGAGTACTTGTAAGTTAGAAAGGCGTTCTTTCAATTGTTAAATTAATATATTTGTACACAAACGTTTTACGTTTCCCATCAAATAGAGCAGTTAAAGTAACAGATGACGAGTACTGTCCGTACTAGAACAAGAAACACGTGTGAACTTAAAGAAGTTATTTTTAAAAAAAATAAACTTATTTTTTCACGATGCACTTGCTTGCTTGCTTGCTATGATTTTCGTTCCACAAATTTTTCCATTGTGCTATTGCTTCAACGTTTTCCGTTACACATATTAATAATAATTATGTCACCACTTGTATAGCTAAATGCTATTGTATTCTTTATTCATTAATTAGTATTACAATGTAATTGTGCACGAAAGGAACAGATGACTGATGAATGGTTTCTGGTTTATAAGATATGTGTTTAAAAATTGGAACTTTTGATCATATTCCATGCTTTTGCTAAACGCAGTGTCA